AGAAGGAGCAGGAGTAAGCTGGGAAACCTTCACGTGGGAATAAGGTCTGACACCCACAAGGAGAGGGAGAAGCAAGGATAAGTAGGAGGAAGACCCTCGAACTGCAGAGCAGGTTTGACTAAGTCTCACTGACTTAAGGGGAGCTCTGGTGCAAAGACTGCTTATTGGAGGAGTCCGTCTGCATTTGGCAGAGGTGTGCATACTCTAGTACCCCTGCAGTGTTCAGTCCTAGGCTAGGAGCAGCCCACAGACAGTGTGACCTCAAATAAAGCATACTTATGCCAATATATATTTGTTATTTGTCTGAAATTCAAATTTAACTGGATATCCTGGATTTTCATTTACTTAGTCAACCCTTCCATAATGGCAGGGTTAAGGTTTTATGTAGGCACACCAGCATGGTCACCAACTCACTAAGGCTAATTTAGCTATTGATTTTGCCCACAGCAGAGACCAGTGATGAGTCCTGATATATCAATCACCATTCTTGGAGAAAATCAACAAGTGACTTGGGGACAAGTTGACTACATTGAGCCTCTTCAGACTTGCATAGGGCAATGATTCATCTCAATTGCAATCAACACATTATGGATATGGGTTTGCCTTTCTTTCCTGGAGGACCTCAGACAGCTCCACTATTCAGGAGCATAGAGTGTTTGATCTACTGGGACAGGATTTTATATAACTTGATATGGACCCATAGATCCACTTTCTGGCCAAAGGAGTCCAACATTGGGCACATGCCTGGGATTCTATTATATACCACTCCACTGAGAAGGTGATGGCCAGATAGAATGATGAAATGGTGTGTTGAAGGCACAACTGAAGTGTCAGCTTGGAGATGATACCCTGAGAGGATGGGGTGTTACCCACCAGGAAGCATTATACATCCTAAATCAATGACCATTATAAAGGAGGATATATAGGTTTGGGAACTAAGGAGTAGGAATAGGAGTTGTCTTGCTTATCATCACTCCCAGAGATCCACTGGGGTAATCTGTATGTACTTCCCATCCTAATAATTCTGGGCTCTGCAGGTTTAGAGTTCTTGGCTCCCAGATTGTGCCTTTACCAGAGGACAACGAGTCCCATTAAATTTTAATCCACGGCTGGTGCCTGATCACTTTTGGCACTAGCCAAAAGAACACAAATAACCATCCTGACAGGGAAAATCGACCCTAATAATTGGGAGGAGATAAGGGCACTGCTATACAGTGGGGACAGGCAAGAATAGGTTTGATGTCTAGGTGACTCACTTAGGCACCCCTTAGAAATGACAAACAAGTCCTCCAGCCATGGCTTGAGAAGAGCAAGATCTCAGACCCTTCAAGGACAAAGCTTATAGTCACTTGACCAGGTAAGCTACCTAGATCAGGAGAGATACTAGCTGAGAGTGAGAGGAAATTCAGAATTGGTAGTGTAACACAGACATGATGATTATCAGTTAAGTTTCTAAGACCACCTCCAGTGGCAGGTGCTATAGTGTGTTTCATTGATCTTGTAAGTTTTCCTCAGGAAAAGAAGCTCAATGTAACCATGGGTAAATTTCTCCAGATTTTATTTGTCTGAAGCAAATGAGCCTGAACAAAGGGAGGGATGAACTATAGTGGGTACTGTGGTATGCTACCAAGACCTTCCACATCCGTGCCCCTTTGGGACTGAAGCTTTCATTTCTCCAACAGCTGAGATTGCTGGAGGCTCACAGCCTTCAACTGAGTCCTTCTCCAGACACATCCAAGTTCATGTCCCTTCCAAGTTCATGCTCACATCCAATAACTGATAAATGCAAGAGTATAAAGGCCCCGTTCCCTTGCCCTGATTTGTGACAATTTGGAAAGCCCACCCCAACTTCAAAACTTCCCATGTGTACAGCTGAGGACCTAATGGTGGCTGCATTGACCCTAAGAGCACTCCCGAGTCAACCTCCTGCACGCTAATCTCAGTCTCAGAGATTGCTTCCCAGAAAAACTAACCAGTGGTAGTGTGTTTTGCTATACATTTTTTGGCTTTTCCTTTAGTTATTATTTCTTAGTATGGACAAACTGGTGTTTTTTGTCAGGTTTACAAAGGCCTTTCCCATCCCAAGAATATAAACATATTCACCCATATTGTCTGATGATTTTCTTTAAAAGTTTTAAGATGTTTGTTTCATCTGTAATTTTGATGTAGAGAGAGAGAGACCCAGTTTTTGTTTTTAAATGAGTAACTAGTTCTCCCGACACTAATTAATTTTTAAGTTCCTCTTTCTCCAAAACTTTTCTAAGGTATAATATGCTTTTATCCTTTTTCCAATTTCTAGGTTTCAACACTTAACTCATTTATCTTCCATTATGTTTAGTAATTGAAATGCTTAAATTATGAAATTTTCTCCAAGTGCGGTGTTGGCTGCATCCCATGAGTTTTAAAACACATGTAATTTTTTCTTCATTAATTTAATTTTTTGATATTATGCACCCAATTATGGTTTTAACTTCTTCAGTTTTAAAGAACTGTTTACATGAGCTTTTTAAAATTTACAAGTGGTAGGAATTTTATTTGTCTTTAGCTTTACTGTAGGGTGATTAAGGAATCAGGTTTGCATTATTTGTTTCAAAATGCATTTAAATATGAGTGCTCACAAATTTGCATGTCTCCATTGCTCAGGAGCCAGGCTTCCTTTTTCCCCCCCTGCATCTAATATAAGTAAAAGTGAGAGAATGTTTTCCCTGTTCTAAATTGTTACTTGTAATGTGCTCTGGGTTAGGACATTAGAAAATACACAGTAGAGGCATGTGGATTTCTTACAGGGAAAGTGTTTGAGCATCATTTCAAGAACTTTATGGCAAAACTGTTGGCTGTTCAGATGTCATTTTGTCTCCTCCTTGGTTCTTATTGCTGTTTCTGACTTTCCTTAGAGTTGGATGTGCCAAAGGATGCCAGGGCCAACATTTCCCAATATACCTTTAGAAAGTTTGTTTGAAGGGTAATCAACCAAGATCTGCAGGCTTGCTCTAAGCCAAGACAGGGTATTAGGATTTCTGGGGTCTGGCCCCACTCCACTACTGACTGGTTGTGTGATAATAGACACTCCACTCCTCAGCATCCCCATCTTTAAATGGTGGTGGTGGGGAGTGTTCTGAGTCTGATGGTCTTTAGGAAACTTCTAGGTGACTAGATGAAGCTAGAATCATGGGCAAAGCAAGAGGGACATGGAGGGGAGAAGTGGCATAGGAGTAAATAAGGGAATCAGTAAAAGGGAGCCACCCGCTTGGTCACTGTCTTCCCTTAAGTTCTCCACTGAGAGAAGGGGACATGGTGTGTATGTGGTAGGTCTGGGAGTCATGGATGGGAGAGGGTAACAGACAAATGTTTGGGTCACTGAGTTAAGATTTAAAACCTGAGCTGAGAGCAAACTTGAATGCCCAAGAAACCAGCCATACCTTCTATGCTTTGCTGATATATTTATTGATATATTTCCCCTTCTCACTTGATGGTGACAAAAAGCAGATGGATCCCCATCCTACCCACCCCCCAATAAAATACAGACACAGATTTCATTCAGCATATACAAGCGTTGGGGCATGTCCAAATTCACCTCACTGGGTTACCAGAGCCGGGAGAGGTTAGATCTTAGGGGGCAGTCTGAGCACCTGAGGCCCAGGAATTGAGCAGGCCAATGCTGAAAAGAGGCTGCCACTCTGGGCCCTGCCACTGGGGTGCCAGCAGAGGCTATAGAATCAAATCATGGTGAAAAGAGCTGCCTAGCCCTGTCATGTGGTATAGAAGGTGACAGTGGGCTCCTGGGTAGTTTCCAGCGAGATCCACAGTCCCATAGAAATCTGTGCATCAGGGTTCTCATCTGCAAAATGGGGATAAGAATCCTGCCCTGAACATATCACAGGGCTATGAGACTCAAAATAGAAATAATTTGTCGAAAGTGCTTTTGCAAAAGGTAAAGTGCTATACAAATTTAAGGGAATTCAATTGATTGATTGTGATTGTCAGAGTGCCCCAGGGATAGGAGTGGACTGGTTCATGGGTCCAGGGGCCAAGAAAGTGGCAGAACTCCTATGCTGTGCCTTAGCTGGGCACCAATCAATGCGGGTAATGCCCACTGCAAAGCAGAGTTCCCTTAGTTTCTTGGCTCCAGGAAGTCACCATGGCCTAGCACCTGGGTCGGGGCTGGGAAAGTCACTGGGAAAGTTACAGAAAGAGTCACAAGGATCAAGGAGGAGGAAGAAGGTGGCATAAAAAGCAGGGGGTCATTAGTATTATCACACACGAAAATAGATACCCACTGGATGCAAGGTATTGAATTGGTACTGCAGATGAGGAATGAAGGCCAGCGGGGAAGGGAGATGGAGATGTCACAGCAGCAGAGGGAGGGATACTGTCCTCAATTGCTGACTCCCCTGCTCCTAAAGGGATAATGTCAGTGTCTGTCTATCTGCAGGGGAAGGGAGGGCAGGGAGACAGAATCAAGAATATAATAATCTGACTTATGGATGGGGATTCCCTCCCGCTGTTAACACTGCTGTCCAGCATCTTAAGGAGGTGTCAGGAACAGCCAAGTAGCTGGTCTGTGCACTTTGAGGCTGAGGCCAGAGCTGGGCCCGGAGCACCACAAAGGCAGTACTGGGTTTCTGGGAAAAGGCAGTGGGTGTTAGCCCTTTCGGGAGATAGCTAATCCACTCATACATGGACACCATCTTAGGGAGCTGGTCACTGAGAGCCTACATTTTGAAGCCTGAGCATCATAAATGCCCCTTGAGGAATAGAGAGGGGTGTCATTTTACTTGAAATGGGCTGCTAAGGAGATTCAGTGAATGGGCCAGGTAGGGGAGAGGGCCAGCAAGGACCAATTCCCTGCAGGCTTCTATTTGGGCAAGGGGGAAGGAAAGACACTCTCTAGTTTGCTCCTGCTGCTGCTGCTGCTGCTATTTTCTCCCAACTCCCTAGGCAAAGGCTGTGGGACCTCCTGGGGAACTGGGGAGGCTGCCCCACAGGGTACCAGCTGGTGCCTACAGGTTAAGGCAAACAAGCCAGTAGAGCACATTGAAGAAAAAGAAGGTGACTGGGAAAATCACTCGAGAGTAGTTATCAAGGCGGTAGACATGGATGAAGAGGCGGCCCTGCTGCCAGGTGCTGCCCTCACAAGTGGGGACCGTGCAGCAGTACTTCTCGCACCACTTGCAACAGCCACCAGGGCGAGGGGTGCTGCCTGGCCTGACGGACTGCCGGGCTGGGCAAGATGGGCCCTCCTCTTCCTCACTCTCCTCTTCCTCACTTTCCTCCTCCTCCTCGGGGTCCTCAATGTCGCACACAAAAGCTTCCGGATGCTCGATGACACGGACACGGGAAGGGGTTGGGTCATGTGCATGGGCACGAGGCTGAAAGGAACAAGGGAAGGAGTCAGAACAAGGCAAGGGAAGGTGAACCAAGCCTAGGTGCTGCCTCAGGGTTTCCTGGAGATTCCATCCTTGGCACACTGTTTCTTGCCCCCCAGAATTCCCACCATCACATCAGAAAGTTTACTCAACTCCCCCCAAAGCCCCAGGTTACCCCCATCACTTGGTGAGCTGGCCACCCATGTGTCGTGAGTCCTAGTGCCCTCACTTGCATGCCTCCGTACTCCAAAGCCTTGCCACCACTCCCATACCCAGCTCATACATGGCGAAGTTTCGGAGAACCACGGGATGCTGTCCGGTTGTAGGTCAGGAAGTTGAGCACAGCAAACTCCATCAGAGCACAGAAGCAGAAGATGAAGCAGATCGCAATATAGAAATCCAAGGCTGTGATATAGGAGACACGTGGGAAATTCTTCCGGGAAAAGGTGCCCAAAGTGGTCATGGTGAGTACAGAAGTGATCCCTGTGAAAGCACAGGAGTGGAGGTGGGCGGAGCTACTGCCCTATATATTACACTTTGGAAAGGACCCCTGAAAATGCAATTCTGTGCCTCATGTGTATGCCCACCTTACCCACTTACCTAAAGAAGTCCTGGCCGGAGCACAGTCTTTCTTGATCCAAAAGGAAATCCAGGAGATCATCGTGGTCACAGAAGAAGGAACATAGTTTTGAAAGGCCACAAAGCCAAACCTCCTGCTCACGTTGAAGAAAAGTGTCATGACTACGTAATCGCCTGGAAGATATTTTAAAAATATCACTTCATTACAGCATTGCCATGAGGGTCTCCCACACGCAAGACATGCATATTAAGGATCCTATTGTTCAGCTCATGGGATGCCCACCACGGTCCTAGGATAGAGGCACATTAATCCAATGCCACACATGGAGGATCAGAAGAAGCTCAAGAGAAGACTCACAACAAGACCCATGGTCAGTTAAGAGCTAAGCCAGGGCTAGAACCTTAATAACTTCTTTCTCAGTTCGCTGGCCCACATCGCACATCTGTCTTACCGGGGTGGGGGACAGAATAGTCAAATGAAAGCAGTAAAATCAGTTAGGCCTCTAGATATCAGAACCACACAGTTAATGTCCAGATGGCTGACTGAGGCCTTTCCACCCCTGAGGTGCCATATCTAGTCTGCAGAATCATTGCCTTATACGTGCACTACTGGCCCTTACAATGTATACTCTCAGGAAATGAACTAAAAGTGATCTGTGGTGGGGGAAGCACAGAAGCTATTCAGCCTCCTTCCTATACATTCATATGCTGGTGAAATGCCTTAGTTAGCACTGTTCCATCAATGGCCAAAAGAAATCACTTGCCTACCCCAAACCTCTGATGGTTTCCTGCTCCACAGGAGCTACAGAATCAAGTCTACACTCTGTAATCTGACACTAAAGGCTCACCACAACCTGGCTCCAACTGAAATCTTACACGTACACCCTACTCTAAGCTAACCCCCATCTACTCAGATTCCCTAAGATATCATGCATATATTTATACCAATATTCAAACCCTGGACTCCCTGTTCTTAGTCTATTACCCTAGCCCAAATTGAGTGTTTCAAGAAAATAGAAGAATTAGTTGAAAGTGAAAATTTCAGTCAGCCCTCTAGATGTCAGGTCTGCAGAGTATACATCCACAAGGCAGACTGAGGTCTTCGCATTCATTGGGTATCATGTCCTTGATGTTGGCTCTCAGCCTAGATAGTGATGGCTCCTACAGGACCCCATGACAACCTATATCTACAGTTGGCATCTTCTACTGTACATTTCATGTTGCCTTATACTCTGACACACCCATCCCAAACACTCTGCATGCTCACCATGACTCCAAGGATTTTGGAGTCTTTTCTGAGGCCAGAATATCCCTTTTTGCTCTCAACATCATGGTGGATTTATAATAGTTCAAATTCTGGCTTCTTAGTGAAGCTAGGCTCCAACTTTCCACCTCAGTGATGCTGTAGAATTCCCTGGCCTTGAGTTAGGTGGGTTTTTAAACCCCTTCATGACAGGGCTCATCTGAGCCCTGTTGCTATGCTTCTGCCCATCCATGCACAGCACAGCCCAGAACCTAGCAGATGCTCAACAATTCTTGCTACTTCCTGGCAACAGCTTTGTAAGGCAGACTAGAACACTAACCTGTCCATGTGTCTTCCTATTTTAGAAAATAGATCACCTGCCCAGCAAGTCTGGGTATGTTGGGACTGAATGAGAAGAGCAGCCTTTCCTACTCACCTTGTCAGCACTGACACTCAAGGGGCAAGACTTCTCAGAATCTTCTGGAAAAAGGCAAGGAAGTAGCCTGGGGTCAGCTGAATACCTCTGTACAGAATAGTAGCTTTGTGGATAGAACTCCTCCTCCAGGGCTGCTGCAGGGACCACTCGCACTTGCCTACTAGGCAGAATGTATTTATCAAGATCCTAGTTCCCTAGTCCTGGGGTCTTGACTGCAATTTAAGACAGCCCTACTCAGCTATAACCACTCCCCACAATATTTGCTGAGTTTATATATTCTTGTTACAACAAGATTTATTATTCTATCAGCTTTTTCTATTTTTATTTTATTTATTTCATCAAAGAAGAACCTTCTCTACTTGTCAAGAGATGGGAATTTGTCTTCTAAGGCCAAGTGAAGGATATTAACACACACTTTCTTTTTTCTGAGGAATGGAGGAGCATGGGTAAGGGAAAAAAAAGATACCTGGGGCTAAGGAGCCAAAGGGGGAAAAAGCTAGAGATGCTTTCCGCTCTTATCTGCTTTAGCCAGACCACAGTTGGTCACTGCACTGTCAGAGGAAGACAATCAAAAAGACTGTGCCCAGAGGACTGGGACTAGAAGGATGAGTGGAGCCAAAGCTTTGAAGAACAAGGGGGAGGAAAAAGAAATATGGTTGTATAGTCTATAAAAGAATGTGACTCAGGGCTGGAACCATAATACTAGTTCTTTTATCTTGACCCGGTGGAAGACTCACTGGACTTACTGTAAGCTCAGTATTTGTAGTGAAAAAGAACTAAGTCTAATGGGTGGAAGTTCCAGAGACTCCAATTTCAGATGAACAGGGAGATTTTTCTGATGAACAGAATTGTCTAGAGAAGGAAGAAACTCCCTTGCGAGAAAGCAAAATCCTAATCATGGGTAAAATTCTATCAAAAGCTCAACAGCCAACAGTGAAAGATGACTCACTCACTGGGGGCAAGGCTGGACTCTCTGAATGCCTCCTGAAGCAGGGATTCTCTGGTTGAAGGCACAAGGTGGCCAGAGTAGCATGCTCCCACTTCATTCTGAACCCTTAGGAGCTGAGTACATAAGTCTGTTCCAGATGGAGAGAACTGCCCAGGGACTGACTGAAAGAGTTTGGGTCCAGTCCCAAAGATAACTATGATACTGAAGAAACCATGATTCAAGATCAACTCATCTCTAACAGAAGAGAAAAAAGCCCTTCTCCTTTCTCCCAAGAACCCTCTTCTCTCCCAAGGAGGACGGGTGCTTACCTATTGTCATTGCTTTGGTGATGATGCTGGCTCTGGGGCTTTGTAGTCACTAGGGCACCATTTTGAAACAATGCACAACCATCTACTAAACGGAACCACTAGTGACTTGAAAGCCCCTGGGCCTTGTCTCCTCTGCTGCTTTATGATGATGGGTCCCCAACCTGTCTGGGGAAACTGAGGTGCAGAAAGGCAAGAGGCATGCCAATGGTTAGCTGGCAGAAGAGCAAGGGTCCTAAGTCAAAGGTAGTAAAATTGTTTACCCAGAGCCCCCGAGAAAAAGGAAAGCATTTGTAAAGCAGCCCTCTGCCCCTGCCTAGTGCTGTGCAAGCGAAGCTCTAGCCGGATGAGCATGAGCTATCCCTCACCCAGTGACCAATTCAACAAGTAAAGAAAAAGCAGATTTTCCGCCTAGCCACATGGAAGCAAAGCAAGACGCTTCCCATGGCAAATGGCTGGTTAGGTGACTGGTTCCATCCGTATTCTGGAAACGATGAGGGCAGTGCCGCCACTGCCCTGACTTGGTCAGTATGTGTGAAGAGGGTTTCCAGGGCTGCTCTGGGAGCAACGCTAGGGAGGTCCCTTGGCTCCTCATTCAGATCACCTAGGAACACAAGCAAAGACACTCACACCTAATTGGGAGCTAAAGTTTAAGAGACCCAGGACCCTCCCCTTTAGTCCTTGTTAGGGACAAGGTCAGAAAACCAGTGATCACCGTGTCCACATTGAATCCACCATGAAGTCTTTCACAGGAATCTGTGCGTATCAGACCTGCTCCTTTAAAATAAATGTTGAGGGCTTCCCTGGTGGCGCAGTGGTTGAGAGTTTGCCTGCTAATGCAGGGGACACGGGTTCGAGCCCTGGTCTGGGAAGATCCCACATGCCATGGAGCAACTGGGCCTGTGAGACACAACTGCTGAGCCTGCGTGTCTGGAGCCTGTGCTTCGCAACAAGAGAGGCCCACACGCCGCGATGAAGAATGGCCCCCGCTTGCCACAACTAGAGAAAGCCCTCGCACAGAGACGAAGACCCAACGCAGCCAAAAATTAATTAATTAAAAAAAAAAAGTTGAAAAAAAATTTTTAAAAATCTAAAAAAACAAAAAAATAAAAAAAAAATAAAATAAATGTTGATATAGCAGCCACTGTAGCTGCTGAAACCTCCTCCATATTATCCCAGCCCTCAACTAGCTGATGACACAACTCAAGCCTCCACCTCCCATTAGGAAGGGCTTTGCATCCCACGTAACTAGAACCACTTGGATTGCTTCTGAGTATGGAGAAGTCACATGACCTCCATTTCCCAAAGTCATCCAGGTAGGTCAGTTGTAACAAAGACTTCGAAACTGAAGGGTCTGCATGACAAACCTAGTTGCAAATTTTGACAGCAATAAAACTTAATCTACTTACCTACCCTCTGCGGGGCTTGGCAAAGCACTTACTTCTTTGCAGATGAGACTGAGATGTAGCTACAAAGTCTCAGTTTCCTCTGCAAACAGTTGTAAGTGCTTAGCATTTACAAAACAGGAGCCATGTTCTACAGTATTTTCATGGGATGATTACATAAGCATTTGGACGAATGGATGGCCACCTCCAGTCATCCCTACCACCCTCCTGGGCCTCTGCTGCCTAGCCCTGGCTCAAAGGCACACTTACCAGCTATGGTTGTGATAGTTTCAGTCGTGTTGCTCACTCCTATAAAATCAAACTGGAAGAGCTTCCAGGAATTACTCTCATTGATTTCAAGCTGGAAATTTTCCCACTTGTAGATGATCTCATTCTCAGGATAGGAAACTGTAAGGCAACGTGGGAAGGAGAGTCATGTGAGACTGGGAAGCCCAGCTGAGGTCTCCACCAGCATGGTGTCTGACTCTGGCCTCACCAGCTGTGGGACCTTACCTCTCTTACCTCATTGCTGAAGTCCATCCAATAAGTGCATTTACTGAGCATTCCTCAGTACCATGCCCTGTGCTGGACATGCAGAAACAAGCAAGGCAGGAGCCCTGCTCTCAAGCATTCACATTTTATTGAGTAAAACAGTAAGTACACATCTGTAATTGTTGGAATACCTCTGAGAAGCCTCCGCCCGTGGGAGAGTGTGGAAACAAAGAAGGGAAAGATCAGTTGGGGACACACCCAGAAAAGATTCCAGAGAGTAGGTGACATTCCCAATAAGTCTTAAAAGTCCAATATAAACATTCTCTGTATAGATGAGGCTGAAGGGGTGAGGAGGGTGTTCTATGCACAGAAAGATGAAAATGCCTGATGTGTTATGGAAATGTCAAAAGTTCAGGATGGCTAGCCCACAGAGGATGGATGAGGTATGTAGGAGTAGATAGCACGGGCCAGTTCATGAAGGGCCTTGAGGGCTATTCTAAGCAATTTGGAATTGATCGATGAGAGTTCAGGAAGGATTTGAAACTAAGAAGTGACCTAGTCTAGATGATGCTTCAGCTAGGTCACTCTAGTTCTTATATGAGGTTGGCCTGCTGTCAGGGAGACCAGTTATGGGAGGCCAGTTCAGTAACCCGGGCACAATAAAATGAATGAAGGCAGGATTCGAAGCTGTGGCAGTGAGAATGCAGAGAAATAGGATCGACAGAGATTCAGGAGGGAACACCAACAGGATGTGCTGATTGAATAGATGGGGAGGTGAAGGAGAAAGAAGCATCAAAGTTCTTGGCTTGGACAACTGAGTGGGTGATGGTGCCTTTCAATGAGACAAATGGGAACACAGAAGCAACACATCTGTCTTGGGGGTAGAGGTTCGGTGGAGACCATATATTTAGTTTTCAACATGTTCAGCTTCAAAGTGAAGATGTTGCAAAGTCCAAGTGGAATATGACAAAGACCTAAACCAAGGTAGTAGTGACAGTGGAGATGGAGAGCAGACATACTTGAGATACACTTCAGAGGCCAGTGACTGATTTGAGGTGGGGTGGACAGGAAAGGGACGAGCCCAACGTGAAGCCCAGGTTAAGCAACACAGTATTGTTAGCAGGAAAGGAGATGAGGATGGATTGGGAGGCCCTGGACAACTTTGGCACCATCTTAGGGGAAAAAGCAGAGGCAGAAAAATGTAAAGGAAAAGGATGAGAAAAAGAAGGGGCCCAGCATGATGACTCTGGGGCCCCAGAAACCTAAGAAGGTACTCACAGCTAGAGAAAGACAGAGGGCAAGAGTGAGAATCCATTGGAAATTTGAGCATGTGGAGTGAGCATCCAGCATCAATGGTCATCCTGGAAGGGAGAAAGGAGCCTCATTAGGCTGACCCTGAACACTTAGGTTTCCACCCAGCTTGGGCCTGGGGACCACCACCAATGTGTGGCAATGGTGGGAGCTGAGACAAAGAGCTCAAAGGAGAGACACAAAGAGAGGAAGAACAGCTTGGAAATATCTGGCTACTCTGGTCTCCATCATCAGAGAAACGTATGGACTAACTTAGATGGAATTTTGCTTCTTGCCCATCCCACCTTCAAGGACCTGCCAACACTCTCCCACTCTTTATTGCCTCCCTGCCACATTATCACCTGTACACAACCTTTCCCAGCCAGGCATTCAAGTATCCAGCCTGGTCTTAGGTATCTTTCCAACTGCTGTGTTGCTGCTCCGCCTGGACAATTCCACCACTGTGGATGTGTCTTTACATCCAGTGCCCACTTGGGGTGGAACTGTCCACACAACACAGTCACCGTGCTACATTCTAGTTGGGGGAGCTCTGGACTTGGAGCCAAGTAACTAGATATCAGTCCAAACTCTGCTACAAACTTGGCGTGTGGTCTTAGGCAATATCTTTCTATTTTGAGGCCTTAGTGTGTGTGTCAGTACATGAGGGGATTGAGCTCATGGTCTAGGAAAGCTGGAGGGGCCCTTAGAAGTATCATTCAGGATGAAACCTCTGCCCATGTTTCTTTGGCAAAAATTCTCAGGAGGGGAAGAAGAGTCTCAAGAGTCAAGACTCCAGAGGCTTGACATACCTGATTGTGTACAACACCTTGCCATCCTTGTGGATGCGGACCATCTGGTTGGGCATGGTGATCGAATGCTCTTGGGTCCTCTTAGAATTCCTAAAAAAGGTGTCTGGGATCCATAACAGGCTCACCAAGTTGCCATTCAGAACAAAGCTTTCAAAGCTGCCATTGAAACGAAGGCGTTCATCATACCAAGTCTGGTAGAAGGTGATGTCAATGGTGTATTCCTGGTGGCAAGGATAGAAAAGCACACATTTGGGGCTGTGCAGGCAAAGAACATTCCCATGCCGTCCTGTGATGGGCCTATCAAGTAGATAGGGACCCACTTAGGTTTGCACAGAGGAAAACAGCATGAGTTTGGCTGTAGGGTGTTTTCTATTTCCAGGTATTCCCAAAAGAAAAAAAACATTCCTGAATGAACAACAATCTGGGATGATGCATTTAATCCAGAAACACACAGGTGATGGCGGCTTAATTGTACAGGCTGGGCTCATCACGACACTACACCCTTGTAGCAGGCCAACACCCACTCAGCCCCCTTATTTCCATAGCAAATCAAAGATCTCAGGTCAAAATCATTCTAAACATTTACAAACACACACACTTTTGATTGCATACAGTGAAGTTGCCCCTTTCAGCTTTTATTTGGGGAGCACAGATGTTAATTAACCCATGATTATTTGGTCTCTAGATATTGCATAGCCCATAAATTATTTTTTTGAAGATAAGGATTCAATTTAATAAAACTTTACCACTCACAGACATGCAGAGGGAGGTAGTCTGAGGTTTGAGTAGCAACTAATTAAAGAAATTTTAAGGGATTGTAGTATTTAACCAAATACAGTCTGTATTTAACCAAATACAGACTGTATTTAACCAGATACAGTCAGCCCTCTGTATCTGTGGGTTCCACATCTGCAGATTCAAATCCCCCCCGAAAATTCCAGAAAGTTCCAAAAAGCAAAACTTTAATTTGTCCCTCACTCGCAAGTATTTACATAGCATTTACATTGTATTCGGTGTCATAAGTAATCTAGAGATGATTTAAAGTTTACAAGAGGACGTGCATAGGTTATATGTAAATACTACGCCATTTTATATAAGGGACTTGAGCATCCTCAGATTTTGGTATCTTTGGAGGGTGGGAGGTGTCCTAGAACCAATCTGCAACATATTCTGAGGGAGGATTGTACTGAGAGTTTTCTATGTACCAGACACATGCTATGTGAACAAAATTCTCATGATTGGACTCTCAAGAAGCTTACAATTCTCATTAGCCTATAAATTATTAAACATCAAAAAGAATGTTTAATAGCAGGAAGCATGAGAAGCTAGAAATCTCACCACTGGTATTGAAGAGAGAAAAAACAGACTGTAATAGAACTGCAAGCAGCTGGAACAGCAAATACCAGAACTATGCCAAGGCAGAACCTTGAGGGCTAGGCCAATCTCCTTTATTTTAGAGGTAGCAACACTGAGGCTCAGAGAGAAAGGAGCCTCAAAGTTCAAAGTCAAACAGTTCATGGGAACATACTGGCTCTGATGCTCAGAGCACCGTTAACATGGCCTTGCCCTGGGACGACCTTCACCCATCTTCCTCTCCAGTGCTTACTTCACTTGCTCCAAGAATCCCTTTAGGATCAAGGTCCAGTTTTCCTCTGCAGGACCCCTAGGTCTTTCCCCTGAGTTATCCTGCATCAAACAATGAACACCAACTGGAAACCCACAACCTGGGAGGCCCGTAGAGCCCTCAGGGTGGGGATGCAGAGTGTCAATACAATCCCTGCTTGCCTTTGCTGATCAGGCCAAAAGGTGGTGAGAGCCACTGCAAAATTGCAGGGAGCCAGACCCCCAGGCCGAGAATGTTCCCTGGAGGAGTCCAGAGCATCACACAGAAAAAAGCTGGCAGCCTGGCTACCATTCACATGGGAGCCCCCAGCCCTGCCCTGCCCAGCCACACCAGCCTTCACAAATGGCCTTCAGGGTGGCTCTGCAGTCCTAAGTGGCTGGCAGCTCCAAATCAGCCTACAGAACTTCTGGGTAGCCAGAGGAAGCCTTCCCCTCTACAGTCCATGCCTGGCTCCTGCTCTATGTTAGAGTGTTTCAAATGAGCATTTAATTTCTATTTAACAAGATTCCAATTGTAACTTCACTACACATCAACTGATAACTAACGGTTCAGTTTTTCCCCAGTTTGACAAGGGGGCTTGCTTTCTCTCCCTCTCTCAGGACAAATTCTGAGCTCTACACAACCTCTGATTGACTGAAGGATGTTGGAACTCCTCCTCACCAAGCACTGGACTCTACAGAATCACCAGAGAAAAGTAGCCTGTACAAGGACTGGGACCTCCCACAGCTTTAAAGAACTATTTGGAAGTATGTAGAAGGCCAGACTTCTCTGGGAAATTTAATACCACATGAGTGTTTGGAATGTTCTAAAGGCACTTGGCCCAGGCGTTAGCACTATGTTACCGGCCAAAGAAAATCAAATTGTTGGCTCCTCTTTGCACCAGCTCTGTGTTGCATGCCAGGTTCGGTGACTGCTGGGTTATTAAACTGTATCTCTCCGGCTTGTCAGGTATCATCACTTCAGGTGAGCCCAATGCTGCCAACATTAGTAGGCATAGAGCAAAGAGGGATAGGGTATTCAGCTACTGTGAGTGGGGCTGCTGCTCTGCTGCCACACAGGCTCTTGCAGTTGATAGAAATAGGTTTCCCAAAATTATATCTTACGCAAATAGCAAGGAGATTGTAGCCACAGATTTTCTACTACTCTTCAGGTCACTTTCTCCATCCCCCCACCAATGATCTGAAAGCTCCCTTTCCTATTAACAGTAAACAGTGGCCATGATGGTGGACCAGAAGAACTCAACCTCTGGCTCAGAACCCAGCATTTCTTAGTTTATCAACAATTTCAATCAAACTGATTGCTAAATTCATACTCACTTAGTGGTAAGCACATTGATAACAGCAAAGAGTAAATCTGACATCAAGGGAAGAGAAAAAAAGAGCTTTAAAATGTCAACAGAAACTCAAAAAGATCTGTCTCCTCTCATGTTTCTCTTCTTCCTTGTTATTTCCCAAAAGTTTATGGCTTTTCCATCTTCAGCAGTTTTTCTCATGCTCTTGCTCACTCTAAGGGAAGCCACCTGCCACATGGAGAGGCCCACATGGCAAGCACTGTGGAAGGCCTACAGACAGCAGCCAGAGAAGAACTGAACCCTGCCAACAACCACGTGAGAACTTGGAAGTGGATCCTCCCTTAGTCGAGTCTTCAGATGAGACCCCAGCCCCAACTGACAGCTTAACTGCAGCCTGGTGAGACCCTGAAACAGATGACCCAGCTAAGTCATGCCTGGATTCCTAACCCACAGGAGCTGTGACCTAATGACTACCTGTCATTTTAAAACACTGTGTTTTAGGGTAATTTTTTTGCGTAGCCATATATAAGTACATTGTGCCTCAAGAACTAGGCAGCCAAACAAAGCATCACAGTGGGAAACCCCACTCTTCCACTTAGCCTATGTAAACACCTTGATCTTCCATGAATGTTTACTTACCTTTGAGCGTCTATTTGCAAGTGCCATCTCAGAGCCTAGACTCTGAGCTCACCCACTCACACGGTGCTTCTTGGGTACCAGTGTGTATGCTAAAACTGTGTCTGACTTGAGCCAGGTCAAGGTTATGGCTGTGATGGAGTTGGTTACCACAGCCTTCCTCATTATCAGGCTCCGCAGATGAAAGTAACATTTGCAGAACATCTTTTATAATTCGTTTGCTCAGTTAATATATACTGGGTCCCTGACATCAAGAAACCCATAGTTGACAGAGCAAGGCAGACAGAGTACATAATTACAGTACAGTGAGGTAGAGAAGGTCAGGTAAACAAGTGTGATATAAGTTGAAGGATAAGGTAGAAAACTGGAACAATGCCATCCCAAAGTGGAAACAGCTTGAACAAAGGCTCAGAATTACAAGATAGCTTGGGAACACCCGTATGCTAGTGTGACTAGTGCATGTGGTCTCTAAAGGGGTGAAAAGAAATAAAAATAGAGCCCTGGGTTGGCTCTACCCATGGAGAGCCCTGACTGCTAGTGTGTGGGGTTGAACTTCATGCTTTAAGCAGGGTCAGGACTGCAGGAGGCACATCTCTCAGGAGGCCAGGTTAGTAGGTAGATTGCGGGGGTAGGCAGGGACCTTGTGTTTTGTATATATCAAGTGGGAGATAATGGAGGCTAACTGGGGACAGTAGTGACACTGGGATGATAGCAACAGAAAGAGAAAGACAAATACCGTATGCTAGCACATATATATGGAATTTAAGGGGAAAAAATGTCATGAAGAACCTAGGGGTAAGACGGTAATAAAGACACAGACCTACTAGAGAATGGATTTGAGGATATGGGGAGGGGGAAGGGTAAGCTGTGACAAAGCGAGAGTGGCATGGACATATATACACTACCAAACCTAAAATAGATAGCTAGTGGGAAGCAGCCACATAGCACAGGGAGATCAGCTTGGTGCTTTGTGACCGCCTAGGGGGGTGTGATAGGGAGGGTGGGAGGGAGACGCAAGAGGGAGGAGATATGGGGATATATGTATATGTATAACTGATTCACTTTGTTATAGAGCAGAAACTAACACACCATTGTAAAGCAATTGTACTCCAATAAAGATATTAAAAAAAAAAAAAAGGAAAGAAAGAAAAGGAGACAAGGAACTAGGGCAAAATTAGAGAAACAGTCCTAGAGGAAGAGTTCATAACTACAGGCTTAAGTCCAAAAAAAAATCATTATCAGAAGAAAAGAGCAATCCACTGTGTTGTTTAAAGTTGCTTTATTATTTTTATTTTGAATGAAAGACGGGAAGATACAGTCAGGATTCTGAAGGTCCTCTTCAGGCAGCAAGGGACTTGTTCCTTTCAGCCTCCTTCTCAAGTCCATGTTGGTTAAAATCTCTCCCCCCCAAAAACTCTTGTTACAGACACACAGAAAAAAGAAGTATGTGAAAGCCCCACTATAAGCAAAGCTCAGTACTCACCATGTCCAGGATAGAGATAGGCCCAAGGGTGTTGACAGAGAGCTCGACAGTGACCACAGTGGGCCTCTCTGTAAAGTAAGCAGAAGTGACAGAGGTAAGTGTTAAACAGAAGCATGGGGCAGGGGAGGGTGTGGTCAGTGGGCAATAAAGGGGGTAAGGGTTGGACTACATGGTTTCAACATCCGATACCATTTCTTTCTTTATTCTTTCATGGCAAGATCCAATTCATAGACTGTTAAGAGCTGAACATACCTCGAAGGTCAATCACCTAGTCCAGTCATCTCATTTTATAGTTGGACAAACTGAGGGTGAGAAAAGGGAAAAATCTAGACCAAGGTCAGTGGCATTGCTGACACTAGAGTTGACATCTCTTACCTGGCAGGTCAGCAAAAGTTGTTCCTGCCCACATGCAGGGCACTATCACCTACACCCCAGGCCCATTCTCCACACTTAGGCCCTCAATCCTCCTCCCCTCCGGGGTGGGGGAGAACTATGTTCTGCTACTCACCGCCAATGCCAGGGCGCAGTTTGTAGTCATAGTTATTCAAGATACCATCCAGGATTTCAGTGGCTGTTGGCATTTTGCCAAGTCTGTCATGGGTATCAGTAGCAGTGGGCTTTATTTCTTCAGGGGGGAGTTCCTTATCAGGAGCCTGGGGTTTGGGGCCATAGACATCATCATCACTGGCAGAGGGTCCCTTCTCTGATTCAACATGAGGTCCTTCAATCCTAGAACATAAAAACAAACAAGTGAAGCTCTGTCCTCCGCTCTGTAGGGGACCCAGCTGGTACCTCTTGGGACGGAAGCAAACCAAAATAAGCCTGCAACCCAGGGCATAGTTAAAGAATGACTGGTAACAGTAAATTAAGAGCCAGTAACAGATTATTCTTGTTAATTTCTTCTAAAGCTGCTGCTCTCTGGGAACTTCCCATGCTATTCTTTTTTTTATGGTCATACTTTATTTTTAAAAAATCAATAACAAAAGCAACTTTGAGATTTTAAAAGAATTTTTAACGTAAAATCAAGAGGGTATTGGTGTAGGAGCTCTGGCCAATCAGCTGCCATTACTAGCCTTGGTCTTAGTCTGCCTGACTAGTGACACCTGGGAGCAAATGGGCAGGCAGAGGGCCAGGATTGCTGAGGAATGCTCCGGAAAGCCACAGCACTCTCTCCCAGCGGGGGCTAGGACACTGGGAAAATTCTGCATTTCTTTGCTTTTGGGATACTCCATTGCATTGGGGTTGGGGGCTGGGGGTAGGGGAAGCTCTGAGCACTGAGAAAAGACAAAGACTGTCATTCAGGAAATAGATGGTCAACAGGAGTCCAATCTGAGTGCCACAGCCATGCACCACAGCCAAAAAATAATATAAAGAATTAAACTAAAAAAATTTTAAAACAATGTATGAAGCTCACTGATGGTGTTAGAAATCAGGGCCATGCTACCTTTGCTGGGAGGCAGTGAGGAAGGGGGCACCAGGGGGTGTCTTGATACCAGTGTGATCATTTTCTGACAACTCATCAGCCGTGCACTTATGATCTGAGCACTTTTCTGCATATGTGTTCTAATTCAATAAAAAGTATTTTGAAATCTGCAAATATATGGACCTTATTTGAATCCTGATTTTAAAAGGCAAACCATAAAAAACAAAACAAACAGAACACAACAAAAATATATTTATGACACAATAAGGGAGATTTGAATACTGACTGGTTAGTTTCTTCAGCATGAAGACGTTATTCTAAAAATTTTGGTGTGATAGTCGTATTTTATTATGTTTTTGAAGTCCTTATAATTAGAAATACATACTAAAATAATTGCATATGAAATGATATGATGTCTGAGATTTGCTTTAAAAGAATTTAAGCTGGAAATGGAGAGCGGGTGGGATACAGAGAAAATAAGACTGGCTATGAGTTGATAATTAATGAGGCTGGTGATGGGTACATGGAGATTCACTCTACTGTTATATGTCTTTGAAAAAAATTTATAATTAAAAGCTTTTTAAAAAGCCATCATCAAAATTAATCTGTGATGTTGGAAGGCAGGAGAGTGTTTTCTTTTGGGGAGAAGGGTGTACTTGGAGGGGGAATGTGGTGAAGCTTTTGAGGGGTGGGGGAGTGGACTGGCAATGTTCTATTTCCTGGTCTAGGTGCTGGTTACATGGGCATGTTTACTTTGTGAAAATCTACTCCTGATTTTTACACTGTTATATTCTGTTACACTTCCAAAATGATTTTATTTTTACAAAGGCAATCAGACAACTTGCTTCTGCAAATAAGGGGTTAACAGGGCAGGAGACGGGGGCATGGTCTCTGTACTGCAGACCAAGGAACTGCCAACTTGAGCAGCAAAATGCATTTTCCTGCAGTATTTCAAGCTCTTAGAATTGCTTAACTGGCATACAGATGTGCCAAGTCTATGCCATTTCTTATGTCTGAAGTGGCTAATTCCCACTGTGGGCAAGGGAAGAACTGGGCTTGGGAAAAGCAGTTTCCATTTCCAAATATCATATCCAGAGGTGTCCTCTTTCCTTGAGGCTTTTCCCCCAGTCCTCTGAGTAGATCATGCCAGCCACCGTGGGAGGGGAGGAGGGAGAACTAGGGAACTGGCACCCTGCAAAATGAGTGACTTGAATGGGAGCAAGGCATGATCGGGACTGGCACTGTTAGCCAAGACCACCCAAGAGCCTGCAATGACCCCTCCCAGAAGTCCAAAGTCAACAACAAAACCCCTAGGTTCAAGAAGCAAACAAACAAGCAAAGGCAGACTACGTCTGCTATGAAAGTGAGATCAGAGGGTCTTGAGGTCGCTGTCATCCTACAAATAGCTTTTGTCAGTAAAAAAAACTTCAAATGAACAACAACAACAAAAAACAAGGATCCTGAGATCCTTGGAGTTAAGGAGCTGCTGACAATGTATACCTTTCCTCAGCTAGCCATTAAGCCCACTTTCAAAGCTAGAAATAATAGAAAAGTGAAAATACTCATGCACTGGACTAGTGGGATCTTTCCATGGGGGGGGCTTTTCAGGCATCCACAATCCTCTAGATGTGATGATCTAAGATGGAGGTGAATTTCTGCAACCCCTCCCCCATGAGGATGCTCAGTCAACTAGCTAGGGAGAGGGAAGGGACCATGAGAAGGGCCACCGGATTGTTTTTTTTTCCCAAATCAGTCCTCTTTTTCGCCTTACAGATGGAGAAACTGAGGCCCAAATGGGGGGAGGGGCTGTGCCCAAAGTCACACAAATGATTTTAAGCTGAGCCTGGACCAGAGGGAGGTGGTTCAAGGTGGCCCTTTGCCAGCACACACCCCGCTGCCACCTCCCCAGCTCTTTAATGACCTCACAGGTTGCCCTGCTGACAGTGTCTGAACGTCAGTTACTGCAGCCCTTCCCCCTGGCTGGAAGGTTAGTTTCCATCACAACGGCCCCTCTTCTCTGCTGTTTTCCTCTCTGCTCCCTCTCCCTCCTTCTTCAGCCCAGACCCCTCTTTTGCCCTAACCAGTCACCATGTCATCTCTCCCAGCCAGTCCAATTCACATCTGGAGTCATGTGGATGACTAGAAATTCCTAGCACGCATTCAGAAGTATTTACCAAGCCCCCTGATGAGGCCAGCCCCTCACTCCCCAGTGCACCAATGAGTCAGCAGGGAGCCTCACAGCCCCTCCCTTGAGGAGCTAAAGCATTTTGGGGTGGGGAGAGAATCCATCTCCCCTCTCCCCCTCCCCAAAACAGAAAAGCAAGACAAGTCCAGTGACATGGAGGCTTCTAGAATGCTGGAAAGATCAGGAAGCTTAGGAACTTGTGACAGTTTGTGCCCAATGGGAAATCATCTCAAAAATATGAAGCAGTCATCTTCCACCCTCAAAAGCCAGAAATGCAGGGGACAACCTTCCTGGCAAAGTCCCAGGGCCAGAAGCCAGAAGAAGGTGTGAGGGAAGCTGGCTGCTCAGGGGAAACCGGCTGCTAGTCTTTGGAAAAGTGGAGAGGTATTGAAATGCAGGACCCAAACCACAGACCTAAGAGAATACCATTTCTGGCCTCTGGCTCCCATCGGCCCAAGACCCAGCAGGGTGTCTGGGGAGATAAGGGCGGAAGAGAGAAGCTGGCAGCAGAGGGTGATGAGGTGGACAGCTGGGGTGGGAACTCTTAGACTAAACCAGGGCTCCTGCCTGGGACTGGCACCAAGAGGAGTGGTGGGAAGGGAAGTAAGTAAAGTCAGAGTTGTCTGGCACAGTGCCTGGTACTCACTAGGCGCTCAGGAAAACAAAACAAACAAACAAACAAACAAACAAAATATATATATATATATTTTTTTTTTTTTTTTTGATCGAGAGGACAGACTAGCCAACACTCAAACATTTTAAGCGCAGTTTTCACCCACTGCCCGCACGACTTTCTGGGCGCCACCTTCCCAAAGTCCCCCAGTCCCCCCAGTCCCCAGAAGCGCAAGCCTGCCCTGGCCGCTCGCCTCTTCCCTCGAAAGGCTCAGAAAGGGAGGGACTTGCTCTCTCGTTCCCCGGCCGCCGCGGTGGTTTGGAGAGCGGGAGTCCCGAGGAGTAGAGAGAGGGGTGACAGGAGCGGCCAGGTGACAGGCGTCCTGTCTTCCTTCCTGGGAGCCCCTTCAGGGGCCCAGGGAGCCCGTCCTAGGGGAAGCGTGCGGAGGCTTGCCGGGCGCGTCGAGGGGACGCGGGACCAGGCTAGACCGTGCGACGGCCAGGGGCAGAGTGGGCGCGGGGCTCGAGGAACACGGGGTGCGGGGGTCTCAGGAGCCGGCCTCGCTCCCGGAGAGAGGGAGCTGGGCTCGGAGGGCTCCTGGGTCCTGGGTTGGAGACTTACCTCGACGGAAGGATTATGAACGTGCCCAGTAGGATCAGGAGAACTTTGGTCAACATCGTGGCGGGGACCGGCGCGACCACCTGTGCGGAGGTCGCTGCGCAAGGTCTGGCCGCACTGAGCGCGGTGTGGAGGGTTTTGTTGGGCTCCAACTTTCACTCCTCCCACTTGCCCCGCCCCACGCCCCCCCATCCTGGCCCCGCCCCCTAAACCCCGATGGAAATCTCCGACGACGTGTTTGCTGCTGCGGAGGGAGGGGTAGGCTCCGGCGGGCGTGGGGAGGAGGAGGGAGAGGAGGAAGGAGCCCTGTCGCCAAGGCCCCCCGCCCCCCGCCGCCACCACCGCAGCGCTGCCAGACAGCCAGGAGCGGGGGACGCGGGGGAGGGAGGAAGAGGCGAGCCTGCGGTGTGCGGGCCCCAGGCGGGGAAACCGGCGGCCCGCCGCTGCGGCTGGGAGAGAGGCTGCAGACTGGGCCTGGCAGGGGCAAGGTGGGGGGTTGCGACTCCCTCAGCCCGCTGGTGCGCATTGGGGTCAGACTGGCTTCCAGCCCTTGGCTCCCCCCACCACCTGTTGCATCTCATCACTTTCCCAAGTCCCCTGACCTCTGAGATTTCCCCCACCCTCACTACACACCTTCCAGTCCTTCAGAGCACATCCTTTGGCATCCAAAGGAAGCTGAGTAACTTAGCATCTTCCTTGGCACAGTGGAAAAAAAGAGACTTGGGAGTCTCCCCAGGGAGCTCTGATCTGAGTTACCACACAGGCCATTTCTCCAGGTATTTAGGGGTGGGGGAGGACCCACCAACAGAGGACCAGCCCAAGGCATTCAGGGTAGGACTTTCTCAGATCCCAAAGGAAACATTGACACAATGTGGCTCACAGTTCAGTCCAGGGGCCTGGGTGTGAGAGGGACCACCTGGTGTGGAGGGACCTTGGAAATCCTCTTTCCAAGATTGGCTGCCTATATCTTTCTGGCTCCTGTTGATGCCAGAAGTGAGAAGGCACTAGGGGTGGAGGTGGGGTGCAGGGGTCAGTGGCCCCATTCAGGGGGGGACATCTCAAGTCTCAAGCATCCTCGGACTTCACCTTTTTGCCTAGACTCTCATGATTCACTTCAGAGGGGAAGGGATTGCAGAGATTTGCCTGTCAAGCTGATGCCAAACACTAGCAGCATCCTCACCTGTTGCTCTAGAACGGGCTGTGTGCATCCCAGCCCCCAGGACGGCTCCCTGGAGAGGCTTTGCTGTACCACGCTAATCTAATACACCCTCTCCATTACCCCACCCCCATCTCATCACTCTGCTTTGTCATATTCACAACACTGCTCACTAACTGATGATTTTCTTGGGCATTTCTTTGTGAGCTCGTTTATGGAGCAAGCTCAGTAACAAAAAAGAAAAAAACCAAGCCAAACAACGTGTCTGTCTGGATTTTTCACCGTATCCCTGAAACTTAAGATGAGTTTTGGGCACACAGTGGGCACTCAACAAAAAGTTGTTACCGGCCTGTGTGCAGCTGTGTGTGTCTAAGTGCCACTGAGTTCACTGGGATCTGGCTCCATTCAGACTGTGCAAGAGAGAAGAAAAGACTGCAGGACACATTCAGGCCTCCTGTGTATATGCTTCCCAGCTGTGTGGCAGGGCCAGCCTCATGGGCATGTGGCCTGTTCAGCTCGACATGGCCCTGCACACAGAGGTGCCCCCACGCCTTTATTTAATGCTTTGCTGTTACTTGCTTGAAATTCTTAATAATTTTTGAACAAGTGGCCCTGAATTTTTATTTTTCCCTGGGCCCTGCGAGTTAGGAGCCACTCTTGCCCTAGGTAAACATGCTACAGTGCAGGGAACAGGCAAATGCAGAGCATTCCTGAGCCTACTAGAAAGAGCAATCTGCCTTTTTGCCCAGCACCAGACTGCTGCAGAGAGAGGCGACTCTGCACTTACTGTAGCCAGCCTTGGACTTGAACTGTCTTAGATGCATGTCTTTTTCTCTACTGACACTGGAGCTCCAGGAGATGGAGGTTTGTCTGATTTACCTGTATTCCCCTGGGTTGAGAGCAGTGCCCAATGACTGGCAAATTATATTTGCTGAATGAGTGACTGAATCCAGGCACCAAAAGAGGCAGATGGTTACAGCTTCCTCATCAGATGACCCCCGCAGGGCTGCTTTCTCTTAAGGGTTGAGATTAATCACACTTTGCCATCTTCCTTATAAACCTCATCCACTGGATGACTGCAAGAACCTTTGCAAACTCTGGAGCCTTCCAAAAGGCAAGGCCTTTTTACTGTGTTGTGGTTCTCTGAGTACTTCCCAAGTGCTTGTCTATGCCAGGCCCTGGACTTGGTGATGGATGAATATACAGTAAGGCCTCGAACGCAGTTCTTGGCTCTCACATGTGTTTCAAGACAGGAGAGGGGATTTCTCTCAGAAATTACTAGCCCAAGTTAGGAAGTCATGATTGCCTTGGAGTTTCCAGGAAGATGGGCCTCCATCTGACTGGGCAGTCCTGGAAGCTGTGTGTAGGTAGGAGGATCCTGCCCTTCATATGGACTTGAACCTTGCAGCCATACATGGGTCTTACAGGCAGGGGTTCACAGATGGGCATTCCAAGCAGAGATTCAGCCAAGGTGTTGAAATCAGAAATGCCTGGTGCTTAATAGAGAATAAGGAGGAGTTTGTGGGAGAGAAAGCTGGAGTGGGAGGCTGAATAGGCTAATGCTGGGCCTTGAATTCCAAGCCAAGAACTTGCACTTGATCTTGTAGGCAAAGGGGAAGGTACAGAAGAGTTTTGAAAAGGGACACTGCATGTCAGAACTGTTCTTCAGGAAGATCCCAGCAATCCCACTACTGGGCATATACCCGGAGAAAACCATAATTCAAAAAGAGTCATGTACCACAGTGTTCATTGCAGCACTCTTCACAATAACCAGGACATGGAAGCAACCTAAGTGTCCATCAACAGATGAGTGGATAAAGAAGATGTGGCACATATATACAATGGAATATTACTCAGCCATATAAAGAAACGAAATTGAGTTATTTGTAGTGAGGTGGATGGACCTAGAGACTGTTATACAGAGTGAAGTAAGTCAGAAAGAGAAAAACAAATACCATATGCTAACCCCATATATATGGAATCTAAAAAATAAAAGAAGGTCATGAAGAACCTAGGGGCAAGACGGGAATAAAGATGCAGACCTACTAGAGAATGGACTTGAGGACATGGGGAGAGGGAAGGGTAAGCTGTGACAAAGTGAGAGAGTGGCATGGACATATATACACTATCAAGCGTAAAATAGATAGCTAGTGGGAAGCAGCCACATGGCACAGGGAGATCAGCTCAGTGTTTTGTGACCACCTAGAGGGGTGGGATAGGGAGGGTGGGAGGGAGACGCAAGAGGGAGGAGATATGGGGATATATGTATATGTGTAGCTGATTCCCTTTGTTATAAAGCAGAAACTAACACACCATTGTAAAGCAATTATACTCCAATAAGGATGTTAAAAAAAAAAAAAAAGAAGATCCCTCTGGTGCAGGCAGGCAAGAGTGTTTGCAGGAAGAATAGACTGAAACCTCTTTTCTCTTAGAAAAAGGAGTTATAAGGATCTGAATGAGATCAGAGCCACATGGATGGTTAGAAGGGAGGGAGCACTGTGGGGGAGGATTAATTGACACAATTGATGGCTCATTAGATGGAGTAGGGGAGGAGGCAAAGGAAGGAGTGTTGCTGGAGAAGACATAGGATCATCCCCAGGTGACCAGGGTGGTGAACAGAAATAGAGAAGGCAGGAGGGGGAAGAGCTTTTAGTCATGGTAGTGAGAACAGACTCTGGCATTTTGCATTTCACTTTCTAATATTCCAAGAACATTAACATTTACTGTCTAGATATGTGTGTGTGTGTGTGCGCACGCTTGTGCACACCCACGTGCACGTGCCCACTTTATCCTGGGTTGTTTGTATGCCAAATATGTCTCTCTTCAATTTGATATTCAAGCTGGATATACACAAAAAAGCTAATATAGTAGCTGTATTTTCATCACTAAACCAAACTACCCATTCATCCGAATAGCTATGAGGAACCCCTTTGTCAGTTGTGAATAATCACATTTAATAACCAACATCCAATCACATATGCCCTGCTATTAACGTGGTTTAGTGGTAAAACCAGAGCTTCTGGTCATAAAGTCTTTGTATTCCTGCCCTAGGTTGGCCCAAACTGTACCACGTGCACAATGCGCTTTTCCTGTTAGGCCAAGTGAAAAATACAAGCCCCGAGAAGTTGTGCAAGACTCTTAGCTTGTTAAGTATCTGGGCTTGCAGCAAGATCAAGATACCTGGGACATTGGGGGAGGCAAGCTGGAGAAAGAACTGTTATAGGAAAAAATGGGGCATGAGATGAGGGTCATATCCCAGGTCTTGAGAGAGTCCCTGGGATGGGCTGCCAAGTGAGGGTCCTTGGCTTCAAGCATGAAAGAATTCAAGAGTGAGCCATAGTAAAGTGAAAGAAGGTTTATTTAGAGAGATACACACCTCCATAGACAGAGTGTGGGCTGTCTCAGAAGGCAAGAGGCGGCCCCAGGGCATGGCGTCATCTCTTTGGAAAGTGAGAGAGCCCTGAGGTATGGGGGTGGTTAGCTTTTATGCGCTGGGTAATATCATAGGGTAACAAGTGAGAGGATTATTCCATCTTGGAGAAGGGGTGAGGATTTCCTGGAGTTGGGGCACTATTCACTTTTTGGACCTTTTGGTCAGCCTCAGAACTGTCATGGTGACTGTGGGTGTGTCATTTAGCATACTAATGTATTCCAATGAGCATATAATGAGTCTCAAGGCCCACCAGCAGTGGAATCTTCCGCCATCTTGGGCCCAGTAGGTTCTAACCAGTTTTTGTCATATCCTGTTCTTCTTAATGTTTGTCTCATTCATTTTTTTAACATCTTTATTGGAGTATAATTGCTTTACAATGGTGTGTTAGTTTCTCCCTTATAACAAAGTGAATCAGTTATACATATACGTATGTTCCCATATCTCTTCCCACTTGCGTCTCCCTCCCTCCC